TGTGTCTTTGTGGGTTTCTCCGGGATCTCCAGTTTTCTCCTATACAACATGCTGGTAGGTGTACTGGTTGTGCGTGAATGTGTGTGATGATCAGGGTGTGTTCCTGCTTCACACACACTGTTCCCAGGATGGGCTCAGGATCCACCGCAACCTTAGTCCAGGAAAATCAATATGACAGAATAAGGAACTTTCCACATCAATGTTTGATTCTTTCTTTCTTTGTAGCACTAACAAAAATGCGTCAAGACCCATTTATATAAAATACAGTGCTTTAGAGCAGGGGTTCTCAAACTTTTCCAGGGCAAGGCTCCCTAACTGTCATTAACATTTGACTGAGGCCATGCTTTTGCAAGATCTTTTTAAAACACATAAAAAATACAGACTTCTGAATATATCTGCCTTTTTTATGTTGATGTTTTGTCTGTTTAGCAATTAGAAAGTTAGGTAAATGTGATTTTAATATATGTTACATCTCTCTCTCTCTCTCTCTCTCTCTCTCTCTCTCTCTCTCTCTATATATATATATATATATATATAAATTTATTATTATTATAATAAAGATTTGTTTGTTTTTTTTTTACACCAAATTGTTGAGGCCCCCTGGGCGGCCCCCACCTTGAAAACCACTGCTTTAGGGAACTACAGCAGCTCTGTCTTGACCCAACAAGACATCTAATAGAACTCAGATCTCTAATATCTGTAGTCTATGGGAGTGTATCTAGTCTCGATGTGGAGGAAGTCTCGCGAGAGTTCGTCATCTCGCTCACTCTCAGGACAGTTCCACCAACAGCGCGAGAAATAAAACGGTAACGGCACGCGCTGGTTAGAGAAGCAGGCGGAGATGCCCCGGATGAACTTTTCATAGATGTTTTGTTAGTAAAAGTAAAAAAAAAAAAAAAGTCTGTCTTGAGCACAAAGCGAGACAAAGCTCTACCGATGGATTCGTGCGAGTTTTGGATCCCGGTTGTATGTCGCACCTGTAAAATAATCGTGCTCGGAGACGCCGGTGTGGGAAAGACGAGCCTGACCCAGCTCTACTGCACCGGACACTTCCCCGAAAAAACCGACTCCACCATCGGCGTGGACTTCCGAGAGAGGGTGCTGCACGTGGGGGGCGAGAGAATCAAGGTAAACCGGGGGTGGGGTGTGTGTGTGTGTTCGTGTTACATGGAAACTGGAAAGAATAGAATCCTTCCTAGAATTTCTAATGGTTTTAATGGGAACTGTAATGGTTTTAATGGGAATTGTACTGGCTTTAATGGGAACTGTACTGGTTTTAATGGGAATTGTACTGGTTTTAATGGGAACTGTCATGGTCCCTGTGGGTCTCTACTGATCATTTGTTGCCTTCTATTGGTGGCATGTTATGTAGGTCTAGTGGATAGCATTAAGGACTAATCGCATTAATGGTTTGTAATGGAACTTGTAATGGAAACCATTAGAATTTCTATGATGGTTTCTATTGTTTTGGGGGGGAGGGCAGCAGGGAGATCAAACAGATTTCTCTAGGATGACACAAAGTTGGAAGTGCAAGAAATGATACTGAATTGGAGATGCTAATTTAAATATTATTATTATTATTATTATTATTATTAATAATAATAATAAAAGCACGCTTGTTGCACTTGTACAGAAAAAGAATTATGCAGAAATGTGGGGATTATTTTATTGAATTTGACTCAGGTGTGTGGTTTCATGCTTTATTATTTTATTTGAATCAGTCCAAACAAAACAAGCCAAATTGAAATATAATACAGAAATAAAGAAATGAAGTAATGATCATAACATTAATGTTGATACTATCTATAATATACAAATAAATATTAACAAAATAAATAAATACAATGAAATGTGATCTAAAAATGCGATTTTTTTTCCGATGCATTGTTATTTCCATTTAATTTTCACACGTGGTATTATAATAAACAAATGGATTGGCATAAAATTCAATGGCTTGTAAAATAAGAGGAGTAGAAAATGATATTGTAAAAAAACAAACAAACAAAAAAACAAACCACAGCTAAAAAGTGAACATATTCTTTAGATTAATGGCAAAACTTGCAGATCCAACTACTTTCTCATTTTCCTAATATGTTTAACGTGACAAATAATAATCAGTGTATGTTTTGGGGAGAGTCCAGCATGTGGTCTGTTTTTCCCCAGTACTTTTTAAACATGCCGTTACAGACGGAAGTTGATATAAATAAAAGGCCTTTTGTGGCCTACAGAAAATAGGAAATGAAATTACTTTGTCCTAAAAAGCTGCCTGTTGCGTCATACATGAATCATCTTCCCTAAACGTTAAAAAGGTTTCACCTTCATTTAAACAATGTCTCTTTGTCTGACCCATCCCCCCCCACCCCCACCACAAACACACCCACACATACACAACTTATGTGTTAAAGTGGAACTGAGAGTGGGGTTGATAAGACTGCAGTACCGTCTCTGCGACTTCACAATTTAATTATTCACGTGTAACCAAAAGAGGGACAACCAGACACGGTGTTATGAAGAGACTGAGACACAGATGCTAGACTGAAAAACAACAACAACAAAAAAAAAACAACCTTTTTCATCACCTATTCTCATTATGAGTAACTGTGGCCATTTCTGGTCTTTCCATTTAAGTAAAAGAAATTCTAAAGTTGCACAAGACTGGAAACTCCATGTCTGTTTTGCTTTCTCGTCTCCGTCCAGGTGCAGCTGTGGGACACGGCGGGTCAGGAGCGTTTTCGGAAGTGCATGGTACAGCACTACTACCGCAACGTACACGCGGTCGTCTTTGTCTACGACGTCACGAATGTGGCTTCGTTCCGCAGTCTGCCCCTCTGGATGGAGGAATGTCAACAGCACTTGCTTGGATCAGATGTGCCCCGTGTCCTTGTTGCTAACAAAGCTGATCTGATGACACTGAACGTGGCATCGACCATCGAGCAAGCACGGCACTTAGCTGAGGTCCACTCGATGCCCTTCTACCTCTATTCAGCTAAAAGTGGCAACAGAGAGCAGGTGGACGCCATCTTCAGCAAACTGGTACTGCAGATAACTAGGCAACGGGGGAAAAAAAGAGAGGCAGTCAGGAGTTTTAAACTGACTCCAAAGGTCAACGTCGAGGAAGAGAAAAAGGAGAAATGGACCTGCAACTGCTGATGGGAGGGACGCCGGGTGAAATGAGGACATACCGGCAGTCTGTGACAGTCTTATACTCCAGACTTCCCCTGCACTTCAGGACTGTCTTTTTTTTTTTTTTCTTTTTCTTTACACATCCTTGTTGATTTCTCATCAAGACTCTGAAGTGCAAAACACCTGCATTCCATTAGAGGAAAGAGAATTGCACTAGCCCTGGGCAAAACCAACAGACTTCCTTTGCAATTTGCACAATAACATCGGCTAAAAACCAGCATAACAGTTTAGCTGTAACATAGAAATGAGTTGAGTTAGCTAAATAGAGCATTGCTGTTATTGGCCTTTGAGATTCTGACATCTGATATCACTGATGCCTCTTGTATGTTGTGTTTCTGTAAATCATGTCTCTTAACAATGTAAAATAACCTTTAACCTTGGATCAAACAAGTGTTTAACAAGTGTTGTCGTTTGACCAAAGATGAAATCCTTTTTTCCCTTAACCCAAAGTCAATACAATGACCTCATCAATACATCTCCGATGTTTTGAAGTTTGCTACAGAGTTTTAGAGATCAATCATCAGGACTTGGATCCCATTGTACCCAACAAAAGAATTTCATATGGGTGGGTGTGGGCGACAATGTCTGAAGCTTAGATGACAAAGCGAAACCGTGTTCATTAACGCTGGAGGGTACTGGTTGCCAAACGTATTGATGTCAGATTAGATTCTATTTTTGCTTTCAGAAGGACACATGTTTAAAAATGTACCACTGCCACCATCAGATTAATATCGGAATATTGACGAGCGTGTAAAGTAGCCATCGATGAGTTAAACTCATTCCTTGAAATTATTTAGTACCACAGTATTGATGCTCCTGGTTGTTGCTCCCTAATGCACTTGCTTACTACTAATATACCTGGTTTATAATTAATATATTAATACATTTTATATATTAATGATGTATTCATGATATATTAATATACCGGTTTATTTTGCCACACAGAATGTTTTGTCTCAGTCTCTAACTAATTTATTCAGTCATTTCTCACTTAATCATAGCTTAAAAGTTGAGATTCTGGATCCCATTGTATAATAGTACCAATTTTCATTCCAAATCCAGCACCCACTATCACATTATAGCTTGAATAAACAGAAATAAACAAGTGTGTATTTCATTTAAACCTACTGCGTGGTGTGTCTGTGTGTGGATACAGCACAAGTGTGTGTGTGTGTGTGTGCGTGTATCATTTGTTGTATGACGTGAGTTCCTATGAATGCTTCTCACCTTCTCGGAGTTCAAGAGTGTGAGAGTTTATTGGAAATTACACACACATATCAGCTTGGTGTTACATTCAACACACTGCTGTGGCTAGAGACAGTCAAGGTGAAAGAGCAAACTAAGCATTAAGCTGTGGTCACACTGGATGTTCGTATTTTTGGAGCAAAATCAGGTGTTTATGAATGGTGTGATGTGTTTCTGGAGGGAAAGTACTGGTTTATGAATGGTGTGATGTGTTTCTGGAGGAAAAGTACTGGAACAGTGAACCGTAGCTAGTTTATTGTTTGTGAGAGATATGAGACATTATGTTGTCTAATCTTTGCTCATTGCTTTGTTCTGCTAGCTTGTTTGTCTGATAATATATATAATAACACATTGTTTAAGACTAAGACAATTCCGTGTATAGATCTCAGAGAAATCTTCCCATTGTTATGCATGTTGTAACACACTATTGGAGCCTATTCCAGGGTGCCAGTCCATCGCAGGACACGCCAATCAGCCTACCATGCATGTCTTTGGACTGCGGGAGGAAACCAGAGTACCCGGAGGAAACCCCCACAGCACGGGGAGAACATGCAAACTCCGCACACACATGGCGCCGGCGGGACTCGAACCCCGGATCCTGGAGGTGTGAGGTGAATGCTAACCACTAAGCCACCGTGCTTATATAAATATATAATTTTATATGATATATAAAATTATATTATATAATTATATAAAATTATATATATGATATACAAAATTATATTGCTGTTATGAATTGAATTGAATTATATCGGTGCCCTGAAATGGTAATACTACCCAGCTCCTCTGTGTCTTCTTTGTGTCTTTCCATTGGCCCATGCTTCCAAGATTGGCAGATTTTTTTTTTTGTTTGATTCAAAAAAATTAAGAGGAAGTGGATGCAAATCCCCTTTTCACGCACCACTGCTTCTTCCTTTCCAGTGAATGTACTTTTTCTCCAGGTGGATTTTATTATTAGCATGTGGTGTTTTTAGAAGTGCGGTTGTGGCTCAGGTGGTAGGGCGGGTTATTCACTAATCGTAGGGTTGGCGGTTTGACTCCCAGCCCACATGACTCCATATACCGAAGTGTCCTTGGGCAAGACACTGAGCCCCAAGTTGCTCCCGATGGCAAGTTAGCACCTTGCATGGCAGCTCTGCTACCATTGGTGTGTGAGTGTGTGTGTGAATGGGTGAATGAGAGGGAATTCAGTGAACAACTATATCATTTCATTATTAGAGTGAGAGTAGAGCATGTGTGTTTGTGTATATTCTGCATATATCAGTAAAAACTTCACCATCCATCCATTTTCGTACTGCTTTCCTACATATGGGCGCAGGGAGCCTGGATTCTATCTCGAGGCACGAGGTGGGGGACACCCTGGACGTCTCCACACACACACACACACACACTATGGACAATTTGGAAATGCCAGTCAGCCTACAACTCAAATCTCTGGAAACGGGGAGAAAACCCCTGAAACACGGGGAGAACATGCAAGCTCCGCACACACAGGACGGAGGTAGGAATGGAACCTTGTCACTAAGCTACTGTGCCTCCAGGATCAAACCAGAGGAACCATTTTTAATAAGTTGTTTCTTGGTATTAGATACATACTACACAATTCAATATTCAGCATAGATTAAAAAAATCACTTGCAATTACACATTTAGGGCTAAATTAAAACCATTCAGTGTATGAGTAATAGACACTAGATGGTGTAGCACAGTTTGTGTGTGTGTGTGTGTGTGTGTGCGTGTGTGGAAGAGAGAGAGAGAGAGAGAGAGAGCGCTCTCAACTTGAATATCTGAGCATTTGAAAAGGAGAGAAGAAACAGCTCAGCTTCTTTAACACAGTCTGCACATAGCATGAGCTCTGGTGTGTAACTGTGATAATGATTCATGTTCAATCATGATTCTCAGTGACACCGTGTCTGTGCACGCGCTGATCTGAGGAAATGTGATTTCTTCACGGACTTTTCACCACATCATCTCAGTTCACTGCTCCAACCGCAGGATGCACGTGTTGCTTTTCGCCGTGTCCGTGTGTTTCGCGCACGCCCTCGCAGGACCCGAGCCGCGCGCGCCTTGTTCATCCAAATGCGACATGACGAAGTGCCCGGCGCCGCGTGCTGCATGCCAAGGCGGGCGCGTGCTGGACCGGTGCGGCTGCTGCGCGGTGTGTGCGGCGGGGGAGCAGGGCGCAACCTGCGGGCGCAAGCGCGATCTTCCCTGCGCCGCCGGGCTGGAGTGTGTGCGCTCCGGGGGAAAGAGATCCTCTAAAGGGATTTGCCGGTGTAAGAGCGGTCACCCGGTGTGCGGCAGCGATGGTAAGATTTATGAAAACCCGTGCAGGCTGGAGGCGGCCAGTCGCAGAGCGCGGCAGCGTGGGAACGCTCCGGTTACGCACGTGCACAAAGATCGGTGCGCATCTGCAGCTCCAGGTAGGGCACAGCTGGCTAACATTACTATACACGGTGCGAATCAACACACTTCTTAATGTTACTTAGTAAATATAAACGAACAAAAATGCAGTTAATAAACAAATCAAAATATTTATTTAATTGTAAGGTTATACTTATTTGGGCTATATTAATTCATCAGTATATCTTCTGTATCCTATTACTTAAACTGTATATTACATAGTACTTATCTAAATCTTATCTATACTTATTTATCCTCAATTCATCCCATGATGCTTGGTGTGAGACCTTTCCAGCGAGATGTACACAAACATTATGTCAAATAAAAATGTATCATCTGAAATGGGAGAAATTTTAGGACATACAAAAGCTGAAAATATGAAACGATCATCAAAATCCATACAGTAATTTTATGGAGAATGTTTGTCCATAAAAAGCCCATGTGTTAGTGCCAAGAAAGCTATTTCAAATGAATCCACAGAACAAACACGAACAAACTTCAAGTAGAAGTTTGAAATGTTTCAAATTCAAATATTTAATTAGAAATATATTTTGATACACAAGTATATAATAGGTGAAAAGAAAGGATTCTGCATTTCTTCAGAGCCATGATTTGCGTTTACTCATCTAAAAGTAGAACATGGAATTGTAAACCTTTGAATGTGTATTTCTGTATTAAAGAAATAAATAGGAATGGTGGATCTCTTTACATAGTAACATAGTGTCTTTCTTGATTGAGTTTTCTTTGTTTACAGCAATCTTATTTCAGCCTCTTATGTAGCTTTGCTCGGGTGTACTGGCTGCTGGAATCAGTGCATACCAGAACTCAGAAACATTTTACTGAAGACTAAACAACATTTACAAACAAGCCAACTAACTGTCTCTGTCTGGGTTTAAAAGGAACAGCTACACGTTTGTTTTCCATCCAGAGTTTCTTCATTTATCTTAAAATATAACGGAAAGGTAAAATCAAATTGGAACAGAATAAAATGTCACATTCGCATGAAAAGAGCAGAGGTTTACCTTGTATTTTCAGTTTCTTTACATTTAAATTACTGTGTCCAAGGATTAAAAGTTCATACATCTTCATCAAATCAGCCAGAAGCATTCTAGCCACTGGACTTAATCAAAAAGGTACCATGTCTAAAATACCATCTGAGAAATCACATACAACCTCTGGCAAAAATGGAGGATGTTCGCCTGGATTTTTTACTTCTTAGCAAATAAACCAATCACAGATATGACCAAAACAATTTAGTTGAATAGCTGAGCATTCTGGCTTTGTGAAATATACCTCAAACAAGTTAAATGAAATTATTTTAATCGATGGTATATTTTTACCTGATTATGTAGTGGAAAAAGAAATATAGATTCACCTTGTAATTTACAGTTCTAAAAATGCTAGTTAGTCCACAGTTAAAAGAGAGCGTACGGACCTTAACCTTGGACTTTGTTTCAATGGAAACAACTGAAATAATGGAAAGGAAAAAAAAGAAAGGATTTTTAAACTCCTTCAAGAAGGGAATCCAACATGGAGTGTGGCAAAAGATGTTGGTTGTTATCACTATACTATACATTATACTATAACAGGTATAAACAAAATGGGAAGTTTAAAAAAGGAAAGTATACAGTTAAACCAAGGAAGACAGCAAACATCAGGATAGAAAACTCAACGCAATATGCCTTGAAAATAGAAAATGAACAGCAAAACAAAAGAAAAACAAATAGGCAGAAACAGGAGTCAGTGTTTGTGACAGAACTGTAAGAAATTCCCTGAACAAAATGGAATTTATGTATAGAGAAGCCAAACTAAAACCAGCACTAACACTTAAACAGAAGCAAACCAGGTTACATTGGGCTAAAGAGAAGCAATCACATGTGGTTGATCGGATGAAAGTGATATTTAGTGATGAATTATGAATCTGCATTAGCCAAGGAGATGATGCTGGAAATTTTGTCTGGTGCCGTTCTAATGAAACATGATCAACATAAAGATGACTGCCTGTTGAAAACAATCAAATTTACTCACTCATTTATGATATGCGGTTGTATGTCAGGTAAAGGAACAGGAGAGACCTCAATCGTTAATGCACTGCGGTACACTGAAATTTTTGACTCTTTTCTTACTCCATTGATAGAAAATAGCTTTGTTGATTAAGTCATTTTTAAGGATGATAATGCATCTTGGCACAGAGCAAAAAGTGTTAAAGCTTTTCTTCAGGATAGGCATATCAGCTCAATGGCATGGCCAGCAAACAGTCTGGATCTGAATGTGATTAAAATTTCTGGTGGAAATGAAAAAAATTGGTCCATGAAAAGGCGAAGCTGATCTGTCAACCGCTATTCGAGAAAGTTGGATCCAGCTTGATAGAGAATATTGTTTTTCATTAGTGAAGTCCATGCCTCAAAGAATTCATGCCATCATACAAACCTGAGGAGGAACAACAAAGTATTAATTGTGATTTTTTCTTGATGATTCCATAATTTTTTCCTCAACATTGAGTGATTCCATAATTAATAATATGCATTTGATACATCCATCCATTTTCTATATTGCTTATCCTACTGGGTCGCAGTGAACCTGGAGCCTATCCCAGGGAGCATGGGGAACAAGGTGGGGTACACCCTGGATGGGGTGCCAGACATTCGATACATCTTTTAGAAATAACCAGTTCAGAATACTCTTATAATTTACTGTTATACATAGCTTTTGATTTTCACACTATGTTCTCCATATTTGCTTTCTGCCACTAGCTAGTTCTTTGTTTATCACATGATAGCTACTAAACTGAGAAGGTCAGGCTTCGAGATGAATAAAGTCAGCCATTGCAGCTTTTCGTGCTACTGCTCATGCTACAGTACATCATCGGCAACTGAACATAGTCAAAGGAAAGCGTTAACTGTCCCCTTTCACATACACACCGATGGCCACAATTTGTTAGTATCACCCTGATCGACAGGCAAGAGATTAATATCATCTCTCCCAACCAGAGAGCTGGGCCAGTTATGTTCTTGGGAAGTCACACATGACTGTAAGATCTTCAAGATAAGATTTCATTCAGAGAGCTGTGTCTCTGATCTTTCAGAATGTTTTTTAATATAGTGTGTAAATGTAAGAAAGAAATTGCTATCTTTGGTGACTGGTGTATATTATTAACATGCAAAATTCTTTCTGCTAGTATAGGTCCCACACATCACAACAGTCCCAGGTACAAGTTTAACTTCATCGCTGATGTTG